GAGATAATAACATGCACAAAAACAAGACAGAGCAAAACCAAGCAACAATATACAACTAAACAACAACAAACCACTGACAAAGAAAAAAACAAAACACAACAAGAAACAAAAGCTTGTAGTTAGTTCAAGGATCGTTTGTTGGCCTTTAGGAGTGTTTTCCAGTTCAGTCTGTTGGGGCACCACACCCTGGCCCCAAAGTCCACCTTCAGCATTCCCTGGGGACCTTGCTGCTCCATTCCCTTGCTATTCTGTTTGCACCCCCTTAGTGTTTTGCCTCGGCATGCCGGGATCAGATCGGGCACAATTCCCACACTATGTCTCCGGTGTTGTCCCATGTAGGGCCATGGGTCAGTGAGGGGCGTCATGTCTCATAGTGGGGCTGGCCATGTGGTCCTCTCTGTGGACTGGCTACTCTAATTGGGGTCATCATTGGAGGGGATGTGGGGAGACAGGAACTCTCATCCACTGCTGGTTGACTTAAGTATTTCTTATATAGCAGCAATAGATAACTACTACAGGTGAATAATTGGTGTACACAGAAAACAAGCAAAGAAATGCAAATGATCAAATTAAAACAAAGAGTAATCATTTTGTGCTCTCAAAACTGATAGACTTAAACGATACATAAAATTAAAAATAAATAATAATCAGCTAGATGGTAATTTTGAGAGGCTGGAATTATAGGAACTAACTTTACTTTAAAGAAACTCAAAATTTTCACAACTGGACCAGTAAGTAACATCATAGTAAATGGAGAAAATATTGATACTGTCAAGGATTTCATTTTGCTTGGATCCACAGTCAATGTTCATGGAAGTCAGTCAAAAGACCAAACAATGCATTGCCTTGGGTAGATTTGCTGCACATGACGTCTTTAGTGTTGAAAAGCAAGAATGTTACTTTGAGGACTAAGGAGTGCAACTGACTCAAGCAATGGTGCTTTCAATCGCCTCACAAGCATGCTGAAACTAGACATTGAGTAAGGAAGACTGAAGAAGAATCGTGGTGTTTGAACGGTGCTGGCTAAGAATAGGAGGGGGTACCCAAAGAAACCAGATTTCCCCCCAAAAAACTATGTATTAAATTTTTTTTTTACAAAGCAACCTTATCACCTTCAAAGTACTCTCCATTACACTTAGTACATCTATCAAATCTGCGATTCCATTCTTGGGAACATTTCTCAAACTCATCTGTTTGGATGGCGTCCAGCACCTCCCTCGTTTTTGTTTTTTCTTTACACCTCTTCTACGTCATCAAATTGCTGTCCTTTCATGTCCCTCCTTCATTGTCAGAAACAAAGAGAAGTCGCACAGAGCAAGGTCAGGTGAGTAAAGTGTGTGGCACAAAAGAGGTATGCTGGTTTTTATGCCCAAAACTGGAATACTGTGGTGGCTGGGTGAGCAGGTGCATTGTTGTGGTGGCAAAACCAGTCTGCTGCTGCCACAAATCAAGCCTTATTAGTCACACATGGTTACGCAATCTTTTCGGAACTTCTAATAGAACCCTAAATGCACCATGAGTTGACATTTTAGTCCGTTCAGGAAGTTGACAGATGTCCAGAAGGAGGTTTGTCATCAATCGACACTTCCCCTTTTTGACAATGAGACAACCACCCTGAACACTTGAGTTTTTCCCATAGTGCTGTCCTTGTAGGCTGTGTTCAACATCACAAGTTTCTGCAGCATTTTCCCCAAGCAGGAAACAAAATTTCACAGTCGCAGGTTATTCTCTTAAATTGGCCATCACAAAACACAAGGTTCAAGTGGAACTGTGTTCACGAAAAAATTCACTGTGACCAGCGAGACCCTTTCTAAGCAATGGCAGTGGGTGCCCTGACTCAGAGCAAATTCCTCTGTGCTCCTTTTCCCCACCTAGCTGGAACAGGACCTACCAGGAAAGCTCCGCTCTGCCCAGTGCAATTCCAGTTGGGGGGTGGGGGGTGGGTTACCCCCTCGTATTGAAGGGAACATGGGCGATCAAAAGGACCAAAAAACCCAACAAACGTGTCTTGGAAGAAATAGAGCCAGAATGCTCCTTAGAGGCATGACTGTCTCACATCCATTGGGCATATTGTCAGGAGAGACCAGTCCCCAAAGAAGGACATCAGGATTGGTGAAGTAACAGGGCAGCAGAAAAAGGGGAGGATCTTCAACAAGATGGATTGCTACCACGGTCGCATTGACGGTTCCAAACGCAAGAACAATTGTGAAGAAGACACGGACGGACGGGCAGCTTTGTTCTTTTGCACATAGGGCCATGAGGAGGATAGCAGTATAAAAAGATCAGGGTGGAGTGCAATTTTAAGTAGATGCTGTGGAGAGTTTAGCAGACTTCTTGTTGGCCTCGATCCTGCATCTGGCTCATCAATCTCCAGTACTTTTAACTTGCGCCAGTGGCCCACCACATTGCCTGCTGATCCTGGGAGCCACCAGACTTGCTGACCTTGTTTTCATCTGTCTCTACAGCCACCAGCCAGGAATTCCTGCTTTGTCTTCCTGCTTTCTGGTTCATCTTCCCAGGAACTAAACAAGTCATCTGACCCACAGACCTGACCTGGACCAGGTTTAACTGGAGTGGTACTTAAAAATAACTTCTATAACTATGTGAGCCACTTTTTAATATAATTTTTTCTTTGTGTATGTGTGTGTGGATGCACACATACACATACATATCACTGGCTTCTTATCTAGAAAACCCTAATACAATTTCTTTTCATGAGATTATTCAAAGAGCTATTACCTCTTGTTCCAGGTTATATTCTTCACTTGAATTAAGTGCACCTTTTACAGTAATATAGTCCCCATTTTTCACAGCATCCCTCAATACATCTAAAATGAAAGAAAGTTTAAATTGTTTTATATATCTAGAATTAAGATAAAAATACCTATAATCCCAAAAGCACTCACTACATGGAACTCTGCCAGTTATGGCAAAATCCTCATCTTCTCCATCAAGATGCTTCTGAAAATCTTCTAGTTTCATCCATTCCAATTTCAAATCTACACCCAAACTCATTTTTTGTGGCTTGCAATCTGGAACACAGAAGAGTCTTATTAAGATATATTTCATGGACATTGGGCCTCCACTCAAGTACTCCCTCACTGCGAGAATACTTTGTTCTATTAAAATGGCATTCCATGATGCTCCCCTTCCCGATACAACCACTGAAGACAAAGCAGGTGCATAAGCAAATGTGGTGAAGAAAGCTGATGGAGCCCGGATATCAAAAGATATAGCTCTAGGGTCTCAAAGGCTTGCAGGTAAATGAGCGGCCATCTAGCTCAGAAGCAACAAAGCCCACATGGAAGAAGCACACCAGCCTGTGTGATCACGAGGTGTTGAAGGGATGAGGTATCAGGCATCAAAGAACAAAAAATCTTATCATTGTGAATGAGAGGGAGTGCAGATTGGGGACCCAAGACCCATCTGTAGGCCACTGGACATCCCCTTACAGAAGGGTTGCGGGAAGGAGACGAGCCAGTCAGGGTGCAGTGTAGCAACGATGAGATGTGCAACTTTCCTCTTAATTCCTAGATGCTTCCTCCCCCTGCCCCTTCACTGCCATGATCCCAATTCTACCTTACAAGTCTGGCTAGTCCCGAGGATGTGCACCGATACAGATAGGAAGTGGAAACACAGGGAATCCAGGATGGATGATCCCTTCAGGACCAGTGGTGTGAGTGGTGATACCGGGTGGAGGGAGGGTGTTGTAGAAAGGGGGAACTGATTATAGGAATCTACATACAATCTTATCCCTGGGGGACGGACAACAGAAAAGTGGGTGAAGGAGATGTCAGACAGTGTATGATATGACAAAATAATAATTTATAAATTATCAAGGGTTCATAAGAGGGGGGGAAGCAAGACGGAGGGGAGAAAATGAGGAGCTGATGCCAGGGGCTTACATGGAGAGCAAATGCTTTGAGAATGATGAGCGTAACGAATGTACAAATGTGCCTTATACAATTGATGTATGTATGGATTGTGATGAGTTGTATGAGCCCCCAATAAAATATTTTTTTAAAAAGATATATTTCATGGCTTTAATATTGCTGTATCTGTTGCTATATTAAATTTATGACTTAATCCAAACTACATACTTTTGTATATAAAATTGTGTGACATTTTAATATTGATAACGATATAACATTTTTTATTTTGGGGAGTTCAAACTATCTGCATTTTGATATTATAGAACTTCGAAGGCATAAAAATTAATAGGCAATGCCCAGGTATAAAATAGTGAATTTTAAATACATGATTAGGTAGCTCAAGCTATGCAGCCCTGGTGGTATAGTGGTTACGAGTTGGGCTGTGATCTGCATGGTCAGCAGCTCAAAACCATCAGCTTGCTACTCACATAAACAGTTAGTCTTGGAAACCCACTGGGGGGGGGGGGGTCACTATGTGTCAGCACTGACTCAATAGCAGTGTGTTTTGAGGTTTTTTGAGAGGCAGCTCAAGGGATACGAGAAACCATAGAAGTTCAACAGAAGAATCTCAAATAGTCTCCCATTATTTTTTCTTTCTTCAGCTATTCTGAGCTGTACACTGCTTCCAACCACTTATGCAGGCAAAGTCTGCATGCACCAAACCTGTATGGAAATAAGTCATTGCCTATTGGTCCTTCCTGGATCAGCTCAACTTTTTCTTCCTAGCTATCCTCTCTGCTCAATACCTCTCCCCTACCCCCAATGCTCCTACAAAGCCTAGGGGTTCACACCACCCATCACACCTTTAAACAACTGGTATTTACTCTCTGGGTTGTGTGATTCAGAGGTTCCCTAATACTATGGTGGGCACTCCACTCCTTATAACCAGTACAATCAACAACTGAAATTTAAGTACAACTCATTTGGGAATGCAGATACACCTCACTTAAAAGTCCATTCAGGCAATTTCAGTGATTCCATTTTGTTTGTTTGTTTAAAGGGAAATAAGCACTCCTTCTCTTTATCATTTTCTTCAAATGGTTTCAGTCAAAAGGTAGAAAATATGCAAGACTCAATGGTACTGAAGAAGCCCAAGCTGCTTTGATGGAATTAGTCAAAAACAAGGCTCCAGATTTGATGGGATACCAATGGAAATGTGTCAACAAGCTCATGAAACACAGAAAGCACCGACTGTGGTATGCCACGAAATTTGGAAGACAGTGACTTGGCCAACTGAGTGGGAGAGATCTCTAGTTGTATCCATTCCATAGAAAGTTAACTCAATAGCATGGGCAAATTATAGAGCAATACCATTACTATCATATACAAGTCAAATATTGCTGAAAATATTCCAACAATGGTTGCAGCAATACATTGGCTGTGGGGTCCAGTCCCACATACGGATGGTCCCAAGGGACAGTTGGGCAATTGAAGGGAAGAAATTAAGAAACAGACACGAGTTTTTGGGTGCTCCCCTCTTCCATGGCATCAGGAATCATGTCCAAGCAGAGAGAGACCACAATGTATTCTCTTACAAGCTCATATAATCCTGGGCATGCAAGCCATGGGAAACATACGGAACAGGAAGGGGCTGTATTAGAGGCATATGTGTAACAGGAGAGGGACGAGTTAGGGGTATGTATGCACACTGTGTTAGGCAGGGTTCTCTAGAGAAACAAAACCAGGACACTTAGGATTTTATATATAGTTTATACAGCAAGAAGGAATAAAACAGCTTACTAGTCCACACAGTAGTACAGAGGGCTCAGTTCAACTCACTTTTGTGGGACAGTTAATATATTAGAAGTCCTTCAACTCTCGAGGGCTGCTGGGTCCAAAGTCAAGGAAGCAGACAGCAAAGACTTCCCTCAGACAAGGCAGGCAGAGTCTGCCCACAGGCAGCAGACTGCAGGGTGAGTCAGCAACAGTCAGTATTCTCAGGAGCTTAGCAAAGCAGGCCCCTATGGGATCTCGAACTCAAGCAAGGTGACAGGACCCACCAGCCTCAAGCTCAAGCAATGTACGCACCATCAGAGTGGTGAAGCAGGTCTCGAAGGAGCCTCAAGCTCTAGCAACTCAATCCATGGATGGGGTTGACCCACAGGCAGTGTAGCTCACAGGTTGAGGCAGAGAACTAGCTAAAGCAGCAGCACACTGGTCTGATCACCAGGGAGCAAGAGGGAGATGAAATGCCTGCTCTCTTTCTTTCGGTCATCCTCTAGTCAAGCTGCGACTTGATTAAACTCTGCCCACATGTTCCTATCGGCCTAGTTAATAAACCTAACTATCACACATGCAATAAAAAGGGGAGGCACTAGAGGCATACATGTGACAGGAAGGTACATAAGCAACAAGATGGAGAGGCTCTAAAATCAAGATGGTGACCTAACTTTAGTAGTCTCTGAGCTGGCTTGACCTTGGGTGTCTCTAAGCTCTTCTCCAAGGGAATAAATAACCTATGATCCTTACAGATCCCTAAGTAGTGAGTGGGCTCTACTCAGGGTGGGACAGACAATAGGGTGTGATGGCTCTCGATGGCAGACAACCTCCAGGCAGACAGCATCCAAGCAGTTATCCTTCAAGCGTATAAAGTAGCACCTTAAAAGTGGCATTATTAGAGGGAACGTCGCGAGGAGTAACTTTTACTTGGGAGAATGTGACCGGGACTCATCTCCAACCTAAGAGCATGAAGGTCACCCTCCATGGGAGTCCTGGCCTCTCAGACTCCTTAATGTATGAACATAGAGAGTTTGTCAACGTACACTCTTTCTGCCTCTTTTCCCACAATTGACAGAGGTTCAGGTTGAATTCAGAAGAGGACGTGGAACAAGGGCTATCACTGCTGATGTCAGATGGATCTTGGCTTAAAGCAGAAAATATCAGAAAGATGTTTACGTGTGTGTTGTTGCCTTTGCCAAGGCATTCTACTGTGTGGACCATAACAAACTGGACAGCCTCGAGAAGAATGGGAACTCCAGAACACTTCAATGTGCTCATATGGAAGTTGTACGTAGATCAAGAGGCAGTTGAGGGAACAGAACAAAAAGTACTCCACAGCTTAAAATTAAGAAAAGGTCAAATCCGACTAGACCAGAACATGTACATTGGTACAGATAAGAGCTCTTGACACACAGAATCCAGGACAGATAACCCCCTCAGGAACAATAATGAGAGTATTGATACCATGATGGTAGGGAGAGGGTGGGAAGAGAAAGGGGAACCGATAACACCCCTCCACCCCCACACCAAAGGGGACGGACAACAGAAACATGGGTGAAAGGAGGCAGCAGACAGTGTAAGATATGAAAATAATAATAATCTATCATTTATTAAGGGGTCAGGAGGGTGGGAGGATAGGGGATGGAGGGAGGGAGGGAGAGAGAAAAGAGAAGCTGATACCAAGGGCCCAAGCAGAAAGAAAATGCTTTGAAAATGATGATGGCAACACATGTACAAATGGGGTTGATACAACTGATGTATGGATTGTTTATAAGAGCTGTCAAACCCCTCCATAAAATGATTTGCAAAAGGAAAAAATTAAAAAAGGTGTGCATCAGGGTTGTATCTTCTCACTATACTTATTCAATCTGTATGTTGGGAAAATAATCAGAGAAACTGGAATATGTGCAGAATGTGGTGTCAGGATTGGAGGAGGACTTATTAACCTTTGATATGCAGATGGCACAACCTTGTTTGCTGAAAATGAGGCGGTATTGAAGCACTTGTTGAAGTTCAAGGATTTCAGCCTTCAGCATGGATTAAAACTCCATGTGAAGAAAACAAAACTCCTCACAACTGAACTAGTAGGTCGCACCTTGATGAACAGAGAAAAGACTGAAGTTGTCAAGGATTTTGTCTTGCTTCCGTCTACGATCAATGGTCATGGAAGCAGTAGTCAAGAGATCTACTAGAAATGGTAGCACCCGAATAGAATGAATGAGAATGGTGATACACTGCAAAGGGTATACGCAATCTCCCCGAGTAGTTTGTGTTGGAATCGCTACATAGGGACCTAAAACATTGTCCTGTATCTTTTACATAACTAGATTTGAATTTCAGGAGACCTGGTGGCCTCGTGATTCTGCGTCGGGCTGCTACTTGCCAGGTGAGTAATTTGAAACCACCAGCTGCTTCTCGGAAGAAAGATGAGGCTTTCTATTTCTGTAAAGCAGTGGTTCTCAACCTGTGGGTCGTGACCCCTTTGGAGGTCGAACAACCCTTTCACAGGGGTCGTCCCATTCATAACAGTAGCAAAATTACAGCTATGAAGTGGCAACGAAAAGAATTTTATGGTTGGGGGTCACCACTACATGAGGCACTGTATGAAAGGGGGTCGCAGCACTAGGAAGGTTGAGAACCATGCCCTAAGGCAACCAACCTTTTCCCTGTGCCCAACAGCCCTATAATTGCTCTTATTCCCTGCAAGCTTTCGCCTGCTATGTCCTGAAAGTAGTTGAAAATTCTCTTCAATTGTTCCTCAAGATTAACAAATTACATGAAATCCTACCAGATTAACTCATCTTGATTCTGTCCTACTTATAAGTATACGAACACGTACTTTGTCCTGACCCCTCTCCCTCCCCATTGCTGTTATACTCTGTATCCTATACGAAGTCTTCCTCTCCCTCAGCCCATTCCAAAGTCTTGAGGAAACCATTTACAATATAGTATTACCTAGTGTTATTTATTTACCACAAAATTACTGGGCAGAATACTTAGTAGTAAGTATATTTGATAACTGTCAGAAACCTTTGCTTGGCAAGAACAGGTAAGGGAGACCATACATTTCTATAATTGGTACATGTACTGAGCACACTGAAAGGACACAGCAAACAGCTGTCAAATCAATTTAGAAGTCACAGGATGACCTATCTCTAATATAAAAAGGTATTTCATCAGGAGAGCCATAGGAAGTCTCTACTCCACTATTTTCTAATCTTCAGATAAGAATTACAGTGGGAGGGAAGTACTAGGAGAACGAAACATAGAGGGCCACGCTGAAACGTCTTTGTAAAAGCGATGACAGGCATACTCACCAGATGTCGCTTCTGTTTGACACGCACTGTCTACAACTGCCTGGTGCCCTGCTGCTGCTGCTGCTGCTGCTGCATGTACCCACGTGTCTGTTTCATCTTTCGCGTTTCTGCTTTCTTTAAAGAACTCGTTTTCCTCAGTTTTATGGTCGTCTGTGGTTTTACAAACTAGTGATATTTCTTCTCTTTTCCAATTAGTCTCAGTAAGATCGTTTTTTTCTTCTGGAGTTAATGTAAGCATGTCAAATGCGCTTCTAACTTCCTTCAACCCTAGTAAAACAATTATTGTGAGGGTCAAGAGGAGTCACCGATTTCGGAGTTAGTGTTGGAGAAACTAGCATCATCTTAAGCTTTAACAAAACTTGCCCTGGCTCTAGAGCATGGTCAGGTTTATTATCAAGTCGGCAAAGGAGCCTCACTTTGTCAACTTGAAATTTAGACTTCCCATGGGCTGTTCGGGATTTAGAATGACTGCAGTCAGTGACTGTGAGCTAGCAGTTCTGAACGACCCCCGGTTTGGGGAACAGAAAGCCTCATCTTTCTTCCGCTCATACTCAAAAAAGAGGAAGAATAAGGTGGACAGAAGGGGGTGACTTGTTGTATTATAATAAGATTCTGTTATAGATTCATATGTGACAATGATATTACCTTACTACAAATTGCTGTGTAATGAAGGTTGACGGTTCGGACCTACCCAGTGACATCACAGAAGAAAGGTCTAGAGGTCTGTGGTGCACAGTTCTACTCTGCACAGTTCTACTCTGCAACACACGGGGGCACCAGGTGTCAGAATCAACAACTACTAGTTTGATCTGCTTCGAAGCAAGGAGTCTTTTTAAACTCAAACCAAACCCAAACCCACTGTCATCGAGCCGATGCTGATTCATAGCAAGCCTGTGGCGCAGGGCAGGTCTGCCCCTGCAGGTTTCTGAAATGATAAATCTTTAAGGGAGTAGAAGGGCTTGTCTCTGTTGTGAACTGCTTACCTTGTGGGCTCGCAGCCCAATGTGTAGCCACTATGCCACGACGGCAGGGCTCCGGTTTTTAAAACCAGTTTAAGCACAATTTAGCCTAAAGCTCTAAAGTCTCCCATGACAAAAAAAAAAGGTCCAGTTCTATGACATTATAGGTTAGAAAACAGTTTGCAGCCACGGGAAATTAAATTCTTTATATAAATGATGACGATGGTAAATGGTAAAATGTTAGCATCCACACTTACTCTTTAATTCTTGGGGCTTTCTCTTGTCTTTTCCATCCATGTCAGAATCATGCATTTTCTGCCATTTTTCTTTGGGTGCATTCTTTTTAATCTCTTGCTCCTGAAAATATACAAAATAAGAAGGGCTCAAGAGCTGTTACTGGGTATTTACCATGTAAAATATAGGCTCATGAGGTCAATGGTTGCTCTAGTACATGACCACTGATTATTAAATATTTTTTTACATAAACTGCTTCCTCAATCAAGATTATCCATCACCTATATACTCTGCAAACCATCAAGCTCCAAACTCAAAACCAATTTTCTTACTCTTTAAGAATTTACTTTTTTAAAAAAATCATGACCACCAAAAATAACCCCCAGAATATCCAAAAGAAAATCAAATACAGTCCGAAGAGGAAAAAAAAGACTTTTTACTTCCCAACACCTCTCCTAATCCTTGTTATTCTACAGTTAGTTCTTAAAAATTATTTTTTCTCTATTTATTCTGCATAAATATTTTGGCATAGCTGTATACATTGGGCTGTTTAACTGCAAGATCAGCAGTTCAAAACCAGGCACTTGTCAAGGGAAAAATGAGGCTTTCTACGCCCGTAAGACAGTTTCCAGTCTTGGAAACTCCTCAGGACAGTTCTACCCTGTCCTGAAGGGTTGCTGTGAGTCAGAATTGAGTTGATGGCACTGACCGAGGAGTTTTTGTTTTAATAGTCGTTCATAATTATGTACTTTTTTCTCTCTTCCTTAACATTTTGTAAACTTTCCTATTTTTGCAACATTGATTTAATATTTAAGTCATTATATAACAATCCTCGAGATGATACACCAACATTTTCTTAACCTTTTTTCCCATAGACAGACTGTTTTCAGGTTTCACTACTGAAGATAATACTGCCATGTAAGTATCTCAATAGAGGTGGCTTATTGCCCCGTTCAATGATGGTCTTAAAAGTCCAAAGACTAGAAATAATGAATGAAAAGAAAACAATCTTCTTTATAGCCCTTGGTAATTATTACATATATGAATAGCATAATTTGGAAAATATTTCCATTAAAAAAAAACCAAAATAAAAGCAATTTCCATAGATATGAAACAACCAAAATCCCAAAAGCAAATCCACTGCCACTGAGTTGGTTTGGACTCACAGGGACTCATTAGGTCAGAGGAGAACAGCTCTGTAAACGTTTACAGACGCAGACTGCTGGATCTTTCTACCTCAGAGCAGCTGGGGTGGGGTGGGGTGGGGGGCCCGGGTTCAGAACACCAGACTTGTACTCAGCAGCAGAACCCATGCACTAGCAGGGCTCCTGAACAGGGCTCCTGAATAAACCTCCTATAAAATATATTTTGTAAGAATTAGTGAGTAATTTTGAAATAAATAAATAAAAAGAATTTTATATGAACAAATGTTTTGAGAAAAGCATGTACAATATAGTATTACTTAGTGCTATTTACTGCAAAATTACAGGGTGGAGTACTTAATAGTCAGTATTATTCGATAATTTTCCAAAATATAATAAAATATAAAACCAGCTACTTAGCCAGAAAAGGTAAGGTAGATAATCAGAAACCTCTATAGTTGCTATGAGAAGGACACAGAAAACAGGTGCTAGATCAATTTAGAAGTCACAGGATGGCCTATCTCCAACATACAAAGTTATTTCTTCAGGGTAGCCTAGTGGAAATCTCTACTCCTCTGTTTTGTTTTGTCATTGTTGTTGGTTGTTTTTTTTGTTAGTTTCCTGTTGGCGTTTTGTATAATTTTCTGTACATGAAATCCAGGATAAGTAAATATTTAGAGACAGTCACTGGATTAATAATTATATAGGGGCATGGCATGAAAGGTTGGGGGGGGAGTGGGGCACTAACAATGAACACAAGAAAAATGTTATGAAATTGATTATGGTGATGATGATACAGTTTTTCTTAACATGACTGAATGATTAATTTGTGTAGGTGAAGTATATGCCGATGAAACTATTTTTAAGAATTCAAAGACTGAGCTAATGCGTGATGTCGACTACCTCTGTAAACGTGAGTACATCCTTAAGACAATGAGAGAACACCGAGATGTGAAAATGATGAAAACACTTATGATGTAATGCCACAGACATCTGAGCACCTCTAAATGGAAGGGGAACTCCTGACGGTGCTCAGAAGTCAGCCTTTAATTTTCTAGTTGTCCTCAGTCCAAAAAAAAAGAGTCAAAGACTAGGAGATAGACCAGGTGGTATAAAGACTGGGTAATTTTCAACATTTCTAACAACCTACACCTAGTCACAACGGGCCCTGATGCCCTGGTGACTTTGTGGGTTATGAGATGGGTTACCAAAATGAGCAGTTCGGAACCACCAAATGCTCCTCCAGAGAAAAGTGAGGCTTTCTGCTCCTGTAAAAGGTTGACAACCATGGAAACGCACACGGGCAGCTCTACTTTGCCCTACAGGTCGCTATGAGTTGGAATCAACTTGATGTCAGCATGGTGCCTCGTCACAGTACTAAAAAGCCAACTCCCTAAGGATCAAGAAACGATTCTTACCATCTGTCTCCAGCTTCCTCTTCATTCTCTTCTCGTGGAACTTCTTGAGCACGGAGAAGAGCACTGGGTTGGTCTGCACATGTCTGCTTTCTGTACGCCTTAAACCGTCATCTTTCTTTCCACTCACCCCCCACCCCTCCCCTGCCTCAGAGACTTACCTTTCCAGGTGAGCCAGTGGACCTGAGGCCGCTCTCTTCTTCACCCAGGCGCGGATCCTTGTGTACCTGGGCTGAGGTCAGTACTGGTCTCTCTGACTCTGCGGGACTTGGGCCCTGGGCTTGATTCCCGTGCTGTTTCTCGCCACACGGTCCGGCGTTCTGCTCTCTTGCATGTCTCCTGACACCAGGGTCCTCCTCGGCAGCGCCCTCGCCATCTGGGTGCTTACCAAAGACAACGTCGGAAATGCTCCTTGGCTCTGCTGTCTCTTCCGTACTCTTCATCGGTTTCTCCTCTTTGTCCGGCTGTGGATTTTCACGGCCATCATCTTGAGGAAGGGAGTCGTGAGGGACACTTGATCCAGATGTCCACTGCGATGTAAAGAATTGGCCCTTTCTTGTTCTTCTGTTTTCTCTGGAATAGTCTCTTATTTTAGTCCTCAAATCCCGAGGCTCATCCGGTCTAAGTTTCTTGGGTTCCTGTGCGTCTTGCGCATCGTCTTTTTTGGACTTGTTTAATTCCTTGGCTTCTGACAGTCTTTTCTTTCTCTTCAGATCAAGAACTATCCTCTCCAAGGAGCTCTCCAGGTCTGCTGTGGACCTGTCTCTCAGCCGCCCAGCCTTCGCTCTTCTCTTTCTCAGATTGGCTAGGCTTTTCTCTTCTCTGGCTCGTAGCTGCTGCTTTTTCTTCTTTGAGGAAGTATCTTCTTTTGTTTCATTTTGCTCATCACTATCAGAGTTTGCCTCAAATATGTCATTGCTTAAAGAAAGTCTCTACAAAACACAAAAAAAGTAAAATAATCACAGTGATGATAGTTTCATAGTTTTGAGAGAGAAATCTACTAACGTCTGATGGAAACGCATCCCCCAGTTCCCACTTATCCCCCAAGGACTTTTTCAACTCATCAGTGGAAACATTTATAGAAGCAGAAAACTTAATTGACATAATTGGTCTTAGTGGGTCAATTCATGAAAGGAAATAAGCATAGTGTGATTTTTTTTTAAAGTCAGTGTTGCTGAGGGTCCCACACTAAAGTATCCAGGTTGGACGCAGGCGGTGTGAATTTTGAAATCTCCCCAACACCATCAACAAAGTATTATTTTACAGCAAGGGTCCTCAAACTTTTTAAACAGGGGGCCAGTTCACTGTCCCTCAAACCCATTGGAAAGCTGATCTATATTTTTAAAATAAAACTATGAACAAACTCCTATGCACACTGTACATATCTTATTTTGAAGTAAAAAACAAAACGGGGCAAAAACAC